GAGAATTTGATCTGAGTTACCAATAATACCGATTTTTACACAATTTCATGTGGTCATTTGTTATCCAATTGCGTTATTATTATTATGAGAACATTGGGGGAACTGTCTGAACAATATCCGGAAGAAATGTATCAAAAAGCTCATACCAAAGTGGCTGCATTCCGAAAGTCTAGAGGTCTATCCAACTTCATAATTTTTCGGATTTATACCAAATTTTCTAATTTCTCTCCAACACATTTTTCCAAATTAGGCCGTCAAGGGGAAGTAAACAGTGGAATTTTAAAGGTTATCCCATTCCCTTTCCAAACAATGGCAACATTATTATTATTTTGTTGGTGAGAAAGGAGGAAAGAATGTTACGAGCTATGACTAACTATCCACCAACATAACCAGTAGTCAAAACTCGTAACATATTGTCTTCCTTTTTTCACCATAATTTCACTGGCTCACCATCCGAGTTCAATTATTATAATTATTTCTAGAACGAAAATGTAAGCGTCAAGGGATAGTAGCCCTGAGCGGATTATGCTCGGTAAATTGCTGAATTATCCTTTCCATGATGCCTAAATTAGGTAGCAGGGAGCATGTACCAGCCATTTTACGAGTGTTGAACTACCAGTGATAGCGCTATATTATGCTGCAATTATACTTCCAATGATGGCGCTATACTGTACCTAGGCACTCTTGTTGCACTATGCAACGTTATAACGACTCTGGCACCATGGCAGCACGATGTACCAGGGGTAACATTCACCAGGTTACTTTCTGTGACATGCCTTAAAATGCCTGAAGCATTACTCTTCAGCCAGCATCGTAAGGTTATGCCGACCGTCTGGTCTAAGCTAGAGCATAATTGTTAGACAAAATCCAAAGGTTATACCAGAAATTATGCCATCATAATCCACCAACTGGATCGTTCTTTGCATTGATATTGTTGGACTCTCCCCAGGTCTTCAATCATTTCTTGAAGGGCTTCTCAGTCGAAGAACCTTCTTTAATAATTTTCCGCCGAAGAGGTATACTTATCGACGTAATCAACATCAGACTAGCAGACCAGATTGTTTCGCTAACGAATGTTTCCATTACCTTCTCTTGAAATATAGACACAGGGAATAGAATTGAACAGTGTTTGGAGTTTTTGAGGAAAGAAAAAATTGAAAGGTACAAAGGAGAACGAGCAGAGTGAACTGAACAAGTTGTTTAAAATGATGTACAGGCAAGTTGATGCGTAGGCAAAGAACACAGTTATGCTCTTGCTGGATCATCAGCCAACGAATATGTTCAACAACATCATCACAGTCGAGTAACCCGACGTACACACACATACACACACACGCACACACACACACACGCACACACATACACACACACACACACACACACGCACACACGCACACACACACACACACACACACACACACACACGCACACACACACACACACACACACACACACACACACACATACACACATACACCCACCCACAAATACATGCAACAACGTATGCATACACCGAAAATACATCAACAATTGGTTTCCAGAGACAGTGCCCGAACGTAAAGTGGAATTGTAAACGTCATTTTGACGGAACAAGCAGAGAGCTGAGAGATCTTATCCTGGCAGCGATGGCCACCTTCAAGATGAGTACCACCATTCCGAAGTCCATAGGGCATCACGTTTGGTTCTGTTGAACTTTTCCTGAAAAATCCAAAAAAAAGAGGAAATTATTGGAGGCATATCCAATTTCAAACGAAAAGTTGTCCATAAATATTAATTTCACGGTTCGTGTGAGACTCGACTGGAAACCAAGTTTTCCGCATCCGCCGTAGGAACGCAACCACCCTTCAAGGATCAAGGCGCAGATGCAGCTTGAGTAGATGAGCTCACTAGCAAGTGGTCAAAGACCGAAAATCCCATTCACTGCATCCATGTTCTCCTCGTGCCAGGCCATGAGTTCCCAATTAACTGTGGGTCGCAGCAGGCAGGCATAGTGGGATGGTCTAAGCCCATGATTAAGAAACAGAGGGTAGCAGGTTCAGGTCCTGCTTGGAAGCGGAAGGAAAAGGTGTCAGCAGCGACGCAAATCCACACAGTCAAGTAAGCCAATTTAGTAACCGAACGTTTTCGCTCCCTTCTAATCATGGATATACAGAGAATAATGGAAAGAAATGAATGCAGGGATTTTTTTCCGTTATTCCTTGTATTCACCCATGATTAGAAGGGAACGAATATGTTCGGTTGATAAATTGACTTACTTGATTGTGTGGATTGCGTCGGTGCTGACACCTTTTCTTTCGAAGGTGGAAATCAGACCATAATAATTCGGGACTGCCTGGCCCTAGTTGTTGATGAATGCCAGCTGAAGGCTCTTGATGAGAATGAGTACTGTGGAGTACTGTACTGTGGAGTATTTGCGGACATGAGCAAAGCATTTGACAGAGTGAACCACCAAGGCCTAATCAATGAACTGCAGAATGTGAGGATAGCTGGCACCGCCCTTGCATGGTTTGCAAGGTACCTAACAAACCCCGTTCAGAGAGTTCGGGTAGGATAGGCACTGGGTGATGCCCGTCCATGCACAAGAGGTGTATCTCAAGGCTCTGTCCTTGGGCCACTGCTCTTTTGTATATACATCCGCGATGCACCACAATGCTTCAGGCATTCATCTAACAAACTCTTCACAGATGATATAACCTTCCATGTCCGTAGCCATTCATGTCAAACAGTAACTACTCGACTGTGTGAGGACCTGACTACTCTCGATGGTTATCTTGAAAGGAAAGGACTTTTATTGAATTCATCTAAGACCCAGGTTTTAATACTTCCTCCGTTAACAAAAACTTCGTGATGGATTTTTGAGTGGCTGGTTTGCGCACAAACTGCCGTGAAATGGGTCGCAATTACTTTCTTGGCCTTCCCTTGCATGCTATGAAAGAGGTACGATTCAAGGAAAGCATCCTTGCTCAACAAGCCGAGCGGCATGTATGGTTGCGCTATGGAAACATAGGTGATGACAGTCATGGCGAGCGACACTGAGATACCACTTCTCCAAAGGGATATTGCGATGCTTGGCTTCTCTACTACTCTAGCACTGAGTTACTTGGAGAGTGGTAGAGAGCGATGAAACGGAGCAGCGAGCCCACACAATGAGCGAGTGGACAAGGAGCTGCTCTGATCGCGCGGCTCGATGAAAATAATTCTAAACTCAAGTTCTTGTTCAACCTGCGCAACGCCAGATTCGAATCTTGGTGACCATGCATTCTTTCAGAAGCCTGCAGTCTGATGCGAGTCTCGTGGCTGAAGAAAGTCGACTGGACTTGCAAAGCCGGTGCCATTCAGTGCTGGCAGGGGTGTCAGAGAAAATGGAATCAGTTTGCCTGTGCCTTTACTCCTCGTTTCGTGGAGTTCTGGGGAGCAAAGATCAGACCAGGGATTCGTAAAATAATTTTATGACTCCCTGGTGGAAACGAGTAATCGCCATCCCGGCGGATCACGCAGCTTGAAAGCCAACTGACTTGAACGACGGCGACATTAAGGTCAGCGGAGTGTGATCAAAGAAGCCGAGAACTCTCTGCTCATTCCGCCAACAGTTTCTCTTGTAAAGGCGTATATTGGCTGAATCACCTTCGTCCAGTGATTTGCAGTCGATAAAAACTGTTCTTGACCTGTTCTAAGGGTTTTCATATGAATCAAAATCCATCACGAAGTTTTTTGTTAACTGAGGAAGTACTTCGCCGCCCTGGTAAAGAGCTGCCACCTGCTGCAGCAGCTCTCTGTTGTGACACCCCCATTACCCCCTCTGTTTCCGCCCGCTATTTAGGAATATTAGTTGATGACCATCTATCCTTTTCAGACCAAGTAGCAGCGTTGTGTACATCTGTTGACAAGAAAGTAGGAGCCTTTGTGCATGCAAAACAGAATATCAGTATATTTGGCAAGCGACTGTTTTACCTCTCTATAATTCAGTCTACTCTTGAGTATGGCAGCACCGCATATGTACACTGTTTGTCGCAAGCTCTTTATAACAAACTTCTTGCTGTCAGCCACTTAGCGCTAAAGAGAATTTTTCCTTGGATAGAATGACCCCAACTGCCGTTCTCTACAGTAACACCAATGTATACACCCTTGAACAACGCCTCAATTTCAAGACCTATGTGTTTATGTATCGCTGCCTGAATGGCCTTGCTTGCTCTCTCCTACAAGACCGCTTTACTCTTCGTGCTCACGGTGCTCAAACTGATGCCCTTACCCATGGTCAGGTGTCTGCTGCGCTTGTTTTACCCCTGCTAGCACAAGCTATGGTTTCTGTGCAATTTCGTACGTAGGCGCTGACCGGTGGAATGCACTGCCACCTGCTTACTGCCTTTCTAATTCACCGGCCGAATTTCGGTCATCCATCAAGACTTTCTTAGAGTTCCCTGTAAGCAGGCGATGATGCCTGTATGGAATTCCCTAGTAAAATAAGACTAAGAATTTTCCCGTTTGTGTCTTTCCCTCAAACAGTCAAGATTATAAGAATAAAATAAAAATAAAATTATGTACGTGTACTGTGACCTGATGTCATTCGATCTGATGTCATGTGATCTGATGTCATGTTGATCCCTGATTATCTCACACCTAGCTCCAATGTACATCTACGAAGTGCAAACCAACAACCGTCACGACCGTCACGACCGTCAAACTTGGAAAGTCCAAGTCATTGGAACTTTCTGCTCCTGGCAGTCCTGGCAGTCCTGCGACTTCCAAGCAACAACACTTTAGTTGGCCAGTGGATGGTTTGAGATTTGTAGACGTTTTTGTGTCAGGTCGTCCAATGTCTCAATATCCCTATATTTCTCGTGCCTTGTTGTCGCCCTATTTGACTGTATAATGATTACCTCGTTACCTTGGTTACCTTGGTTACCTTGGTTACCTTGGTTACCTTGGTTACCTTGGTGGACTGTTAGTCATAACTCTTAACTTATAGGTCCTTTTCTCTCTGCGTAAATATCACATGCACTTTAGCAAAGTAGTGAGGGTAGTCCGTCGTCATGCAGAATTAAATACTTGCCTGCACAAATAAAGGCAGCAGTTGCTGATGCGTCCGGTGTAGGGTTCAGCTGCGAACTTGAAACATTATACATCATCCAAGCAGTCACCTTCGGGTTTTTACGTATCTGTCTCATCCAAATTTCTTCCACGTTCACACGGTTAAGTATAGGCTGCAACAATATGATGATAAAGAAGATGAACACACTGTTTGTCAACATCGCATGCAGGGCGATAGTGCGGGTTCGAATCCCAGGTTATGTCTTGAGAAAAAATAGCAGATATGAAACATTTATAACATCCCTATGCTTTTTTGCCAAGGTCATCAAGGTGGTAGTTGGTTTCGTATTACCCTCGAATACAAAGAGAAAGTTTGATGCAGCCAATCAATGGAAAAAAATTCCATCAGTTCTAATAACATGTATGATGAGCTAGCTAGGCCAAAAGCATAGCGTAGGGCCCTAAGATTCCAAGCTCTCTCGTTGCTAAATTTTATTATTGAGATGTATTTCGCTCATGAATGTCTCTAGAAAACTTGTTAGGAAATTGTATTCTCCATATTTTACTTTTGTTAATTACTACGTCCATTGTCCGCTTCGCTGATTCTGCGGATTGCCTTAATAAAGTTATTGTCTCCGCGCCGCTTATTCATAGTAAATGTAGTAACGAAAAATTGGAGGCGTATCCAATTTCGAAAGAAAAAAATGTCAGCACCGATGCAATCCACACAGTGAAGTAAGCCAATTTAGTAACCGAGCGTTTTCATTCCCTTCTCATCATGGGTACTTCGAAGTAAGTACAGGGAATAATGGAAACATGTCAAATACAGCAACTTATAGACCTACAGCAAAAGCATAGATTGAGAACCTCACGCTATACGTGTGGACAAAATAAAATTCAGCAGAACAGGTCAACAACAGGGTGAAGGTGAAGAAATGACTAAAACATATTGAAAAAAATGAAAACATCAATAAGAAGAAGCATTCCTGACACTTTCACGAGGATTAGCGACAAACAACTGAAGTGACAAAACATTTTTCTTCTGAACACATGGTTTAGGGGACAACTTGCGAATTCTGCCTGTATTTACCCATGATGAGAAGGGAGTGAAAACGTTCGGATGCTAAATTGGCTTACTTGACTGTGTGGATTGAGTCAGTGCTGACACCTTTTCTTTCGAATTGTAGTAACCTCAGGATTTTATTTCAATTACCTACCAGTTGTAAAAACCTCGCGGGACCTCAGGTTTTATCCTGGTATGTAGTTGTAATAAATCCTTCGGCTCAACATTCGGGTGACCTCAATTTTTTAACGGTTTATAATATTATCCTGTTTAAGCACTATGAGGTCCATAATCTATTTCTCTATGTATTCTCCAGGCAATAGTTTCTCTTCATATGCAAAATATCGTGTTGTTATTACAGTGTTACACTTTAACCTACTCTGCATTGTATGGCATTGCAGAATCAAGGGCATTGTTTTTACTAGGTTCAGCATCTGTAGCAAACTGGCTGGGTGGTAAGGAAGAGTGACTGAGATTCACATGGTTGTGGGTTCGAATCCTCTCTTGTGTATTTCTGCTCCAAGACCTTGTAAGGGGTACACAATTTATATAAGTGGTCAAATTTAAATGAGCAGTGTATATGGAAATTTATGCAAAAGAGAACGACCAAGGAACTACAAGTTACGCTATACTGCCCACTATCACCGCCAGTTACTAAATAATCAGCTCGTGCGATAACACTGCACGACACTGACCGACGGTACTGACGTTCTACAACTAACTGGCTAACAGCTCTAGCACATCTTGGATGCGCACCTAGTGGACAGTATAGCGTAACTTGTAGTTCCTTGGCTTTCCTCTTTTGTATAAATTTAACCTTGGCTCTCCATCTGAGTACATGGGAATACCCGGTATAAGCTTCGTGGGAGATTTGGTACACCTGGGTTTCATCATCTGGAGGTCAGGGAATGATAGCATCAATTTGTAATTTCGGATAAAATGAACTTATCCTTTGCAGGATTTGTTAGCCATGATGGTTGCCAATCGAGTGGGTCACATTTTTAAGGACCTGATTTTGGCGAACAAAATACATTAACAACAAGGAGCACTGAGAAATAATGATCTTACCATGTAGCATTCTTCTAGTTTGCGTTGCCAGCGTGATCTCAACAACTTCATTCCACTCTGTTGGGTGCAGAGTGTATTGGCCTCGGTGAGAGTAGTGCGATTAAGACTGATCATGATGTTGAAGCCTCGACATTCAAAGTTCAAATCTACGTAAGGAACAACCAGATTGACTTATGCTAATTAACAACGGTATGCCGATGGCAGCGATAGGGATTAGAAGCAAAATTGAGCTGCAAGTGTTGCAACATCGCCATAGAACATAATTATTTGCCTCCTTCTGACCTGATTTTCTCCTGTCTTCCGGTCATTCTGATTCCTTTCCTCCTTTGCTTCTTTCGTTTCATAATCACCTTCATGCTATTGCGCCCAGTTCCTGTTTAACCCTTTGTGCGCTCAACGAGCGATTTCGCTCGTTTCAAATGCGCGTCACATTTTTGATCGTCGCGCTTGACTGGTTTACCGCATCGCGCCGAGACTTCACCACCGCGTACCTGAGAAAATTTCCGTGACGTAGGTACTAAACATGATGTAGGTCGCCACTAAATTTTTTTTGATAGCACGCTTTGAAAGAGCCTTTGCAATTATGTCAAAATTAGAATTTGGACTTATCCAGCGATGGATGCAGACGAGGCGCTTCGCCTAATACAAGACGCGGACCAAGCAGATCTCCCAGTAGAGGATATCGCTTGCTCTTCAGGCGACGAGGTAGGCGACTCGGACAACGATTTTATTTCGTCTGACGAGGAAGATCGCCTGAATGACGATCTCTTTTCCGACTTGGAGCAAATAGGATCCGATTCGGCTGACGATATCGCTATTCCTGTTCCCGTCGCTGCTCGTGGACGTGGCCCTGGACGAGGCAGAGGCCAAGCAGTAGGTGTCCCCGCGCGTGGAAGAGGGCGAGGACGTGGAGCTGCGACAGGGCGAGGACATTGAGTTGCGACAGGGCGAGGACGTGGAGCTGCAAGAGGGCGAGGACGCGGAGCTGCAAGAGGGCAAGGACGAGGACGTGGTATACAGTACGAAAATTGTAGTGGCTATGATGATGTTGACCAGCTGCAAACCAATACACCTGAGTTCAACATAACTGGCACTGGTTTGAACCTACCTGATAATTTCGCTCCAACATGTGAACTTGATTTCTTCAAACTATATTTCCCGGACGAAGTTGTGGATTCAATTGTCAAGTTTACAAATTTGTATGCGCACGAGCATATCGCTGAAAAAAAGACGTACCAGACGGATGGTGTGTGGAAGGAGACCAACCGTAATGAGTTTTACGGCCTCCTTGCATTTCTCTTCTTCCAGGGATTTCATCCTCTGCCTGCGACGAGGGACTACTGGCGCGTTACGTCGTTGTACAACGGAAACTATGCACGCTGCATGATTCGAACCTACCGGAGGTACTTAGCGCTGATGTGCTTCATCAAGATTGTGGACTTCAGGGCAGAGGATATAAATGATCGACTTCGTAAGGTGCGATACCTTCACGACCATCTGCAGGCGGCCTGCAAGCGTTTGTTCATCCCTGGCAAGTGCGTTAGTGTTGACGAGCGCATGGTCAAGTGCAAGGGACGCGCTCCTTTTACGCAGTATATGCCCAAAAAGCCCGTCAAATGGGGCTTCAAGGTCTTCGCTGCCTGCGACGCCCAAAGCTCCATTGTTGTAAACTTTGAAGTTTACACAGGCCAGCAACCTGGAGGTGAAAATGGCCTGACTCATGCTGTGGTGATGCGGCTGGTCAGTGACGTGCGCGCCGGAAGTGTGATCTACACGGACAATTTTTACACTTCCGAAACCCTGGCCACATCTCTTCGTACCAAGCAAATATCGTTGGTTGGCACCGTCCGCGCGAACCGCACTGGATTTCCAGCCGTATTGCGGACCGACATGAAACAGTTCGAGAAACATGCAGAGCGAGGTGCAACACGCTATGTTCGCAACGGAGATCACCTGTACCAGCAATGGAAGGACAAGCGGTGTGTGTCAATGTACAGCAACATACATCAGGGCCATGAGCATGACACAGTAACAAGAAATGTCAAGATTGATGGTGCACACCAGCAAATGGAAGTGCAGAGGCCAATGTGCATCAGAGACTACAACAGCAGCATGGGTGGAGTCGACACGTTCGATCAGCTGATCGAAACGCACCGTGTGCTTCGCAAAACGAAGAAATACTGGAAGAGTCTCTTCTTGGATATGGTCGACGTGTGCGCTGTCAATGCATACCGCCTCTTTCACTTGTGGCAGAGCCAGCATCCAGGGGTGATAAGTCGACGATGCAACTTGCAGCACTCGGATTTCCGCTGTAACCTCATCCGGCAGCTGTCATCGATTGATGAGCATGCACCGCCACCGAAGCGCTCGTATCGCCCAGTGCCTGTTCCGCAGGATGTCCAGGTTCCTGTTGCTCAGCTTCACATACCTGGAGTGAGGAAAAGGAAGAACTGCAGAAACTGCACAGAAGTGGGTAACAAGCAGCACCAGTGTGTAACCTACTGCACTACGTGCGATGTTCACCTCCACATCACGAGCGACCACGACTGCTACGCCGCTTACCATGCACGCCACTTCCCGTGAAGGATATCTTATCTCAGTGCTGTGAGTTTCTATCTTGTCTACTGTATATTTGTACATAAAAGTATGGTTTCATTTCCTTCCTATGGTGCGCTCTGTAAATAACGCGGCTATACACTTGATTATGACAATATGTGCCTAATATGGCAACATTGGTAACCATGGCAACATTCTAACATAGTTTTTTGGATTCAGCCGAACGATTCCATTCAGAAAAACACAACTTCTAATTACATATTCTCAAAAACTGTGGAGTTACAGGGGATTATTGTCGGAATGGAAAATTTGGTCATTTTCTCCGAAACCAGTGGACTCACAAAGGGTTAATGAATTTGTGAACTTAAAACTAAACACATAACAAACAACCATACAATGCTGAACCCATTCCCTCACCCGGGCCCTCCTCTCCTCCCACCTCTCACACATACATATATGCCCACACTCACCATTCCCTCACCCGGGCCCTCCTCTCCTCCCACCCCTCACACATACATGTATGCCCACACTCACCATTCCCTCACCCGGGCCCTCCTCTCCTCCCACCCCTCACACATACATGTATGCCCACACTCACCATTCCCTCACCCGGGCCCTCCTCTCCTCCCACCTCTCACACATACATGTATGCCCACACTCACCATTCCCTCACCCGGGCCCTCCTCTCCTCCCACCTCTCACACATGCATATATGCCCACACTCACCATTCCCTCACCCGGGCCCTCCTCTCCTCCCACCTCTCACACATACATGTATGCCCACACTCACCATTCCCTCACCCGGGCCCTCCTCTCCTCCCACCTCTCACACATACATGTATGCCCACACTCACCATCACTACATGTATGCCCTGGTACCTCACCCACTCTACATGTATGCCCACACTCACCATCACTGCTGCCAAGTGCAGCCCCTACTCAGTAGCTATTTTTTTTCGGCCGCATAATTATTTATTTTACGAGTTGGGTTTGTGGATAATAGTACCGTAAAGTCCGCTGAAAACGCCCACTTCGCTGCAAACGCCCACCCCAGCGGGTCCATACTATTCTCGTCTTTTTCAGGTCGGTATAGTTGTAGAAAACTGGCTTGAAGGTCGAATGCGTACGATAACGAATATAACGCCTACAAATTGCCTATGTTTTACCAAGAGGCTCTGCAAAAGCCATTGTCATTATCTTGCTGTAAAGAAAAAAAACTTCGGTCGAGATTTCCTTTCATACGATGAATGAGAAACCATCTGGTTTTCAAATCATGAATCTTCTGCAGTTCTTGCTATGATGTCGCGCTTTCAAAATGGAATGGTGATTGTTCTGACGAAGCACCATTCAAAGACGTTTCAGGTCGCAGTATTGCAGTTGCAAGTCGAACAGGGGGGGGGGGGGGGATGTCACAGACGCTACACCTACAAAGTCGCTGCTAACTTGTTGAACACTCTAAAGTGCTCGAGAAAAACCCTTGCCATTGCGCTTTGCGTGATTTGGAAATGATGGCTTGAAACACTGTCAGAAGTACTTGGTTCCTGCAATAGCCTGTTCTTCGCTACCTTGTTCTTCCGAAGTAACTCCCTTTTGGATTTGTGAAGTAAAACAACCAACATCATAAAATCACTAGGAGCTAGCTCGTAACTAGTGCCCAAAACCATACCGGTAGTTTACCGTAGCAAAGCGCTCCTCGCGCTACGGTGTGAGATGCACTTTCATACAGTAGGGGTGACAGTGCGCAGGGGCGTACACCGCTCGCCTCCAGGAGTGGTTCCCATGCCAACTGATGAACCACCATTACACACAATTGAAGTGCTGTTTTTCGTATCCCACAGAGTTTCTGCATATTCTCCTCAGACTGGGCGAAATTGCCATCCACAAGCTGCTGGACGATGTCATTGCTACGCATTTATGATTTTAAAAGACTGAACTTTTCCCCGTTTTATGGATGTTTTGGTCAGCATGACGATTGCATGCAGTCTTGAAAGCTGCCTAAGTTTCGAATCATCTGGAGCAAACATCACACAGGCCAAGCAGAAGCCACCATTGCATGCCTGTCAAAAGACTATCCAGGGTAACTCCTCCAACAAGGATAGTTGAAAGTGGCGCTGTTTGCCATCCATCTGGACACGCACAGGAAATGAAATCCTTCGCCTGCGGTGGCGCACAACGATTGTCGATGACGGAAATCTTTTCCGTGTCCAGCAAATTTCGGGGGACTGGATTCCACTGTGGACGTCGACTTTCAGAATCCCTTCCAACACCCTCCCATGTCATTGAAGTAAGTTTTGGATGATCCAGCAGCTTCCAACAACGGTCGCTCTACAGCTTCGCCGACGATTTCTTCCTCAGCGCTGCTCGTTGCATGCATACTTCACTTGCACGTCAGGTGCGTCTGCATTCTCATCTATCGCTTGACCTTCGCCACTAGCACTGGCTACACACTTTGCCTGCAGCTCAAAATAGCTCTGAATAGAGCGCTGGCCCTCTGGATGTCGACGCTTCATTTTTCTTTTCCACAAAGCGAAAGCATCGTCAAAACACGACCAACTTTGTCAAAACAAACTCCAAAAGAAAATTTGACTCTGAGATCGAGGAATCCGGCGATGTAACTAGACTAGAGACTTTGTTGAACCCATGATGGGTTCAGGCATGGCCCAGTTCAGTAGATCTACGCTGTGTCCCACTCCCAGCACCACTTTCACACCTGGGCTAGTGGTCAGTCACCGTCGACGCGTCCTCGGACCGGCAGGCGGACTCCAGACATGCACTGCATGCACTTGCACTGTGAGTCTGTGAGCGCTGGGACTGGATCAGAAAATTCTCTGTACCCATATCGAATTTGTTTTACTGGTTCCCGGGCATCCCGGGAACCGCCCTATGTACGCCCCTGGTGCATGGGGTCACTGCGTATAGGCCAACAGATCTTGCAAAAATGGGGTGGGCGTTTGCCGCAGACTTTACGGTATGAATGGTAAAAAGAAGAAAATAAAAAATAATTTGTAAACACTGGCACCCCCCCCCCCTCCCCCCTCTCCCCACATACACAAGTATGAACACAGACGCACTCACTGGTGACCGGAGATGTTGTCGCAGCAACTGTGATGGCCGGGGCTGCTGTGGTAGCACCTGTGGTGGTCGGTGGCCTTGTTGTAGCAACGGTGGCGGTCGGTGGTGTTGTTGTAGCAACGGTGGTGGGCGGGGCTGCTGTGGTAGCAACGGTGGTGGGCGGTGGCATTGTCGTAGCAACTGTGGTGGTCGGTGGTGTTGTCGTAGCAACTGTGGTAGGGAAAGACAAACAAGGGAAAGTGGTCAGTTATGTGTGGAACGGAGCCGCAGGTATGTGTGGAACGGAGCCGCAGGTATGTGTGGAACGGAGCCGCAGGTATGTGTGGAACGGAGCCGCAGGTATGTGTGGAACGGAGCCGCAGGTATGTGTGGAACGGAGCCGCAGGTATGTGTGGAACGGAGCCGCAGGTATGTGTGGAACGGAGCCGCAGGTATGTGTGGAACGGAGCCGCAGGTATGTGTGGAACGGAGCCGCAGGTATGTGTGGAACGGAGCCGCAGGTATGTGGGGAACGGAGCCGCAGGTATGTGTGGAACGAAGCCGCAGGTATGTGTGGAACGGAGCCGCGGGTATGTGTGGAACGGAGCCGCGGGTATGTGTGGAACGGAGCCGCTGGTATGTGTGGAACGGAGCCGCAGGTATGTGTGGAACGGAGCCGCAGGTATGTGTGGAACGGAGCCGCAGGTATGTGTGGAACGGAGCCGCAGGTATGTGTGGAACGGAGCCGCAGGTATGTGTGGAACGGAGCCGCAGGTATGTGTGGAACGGAGCCGCAGGTATGTGTGGAACGGAGCCGCAGGTATGTGTGGAACGGAGCCGCAGGTATGTGTGGAACGGAGCCGCAGGTATGTGTGGAACGGAGCCGCAGGTATGTGTGGAACGGAGCCGCAGGTATGTGTGGAACGGAGCCGCAGGTATGTGTGGAACGGAGCCGCAGGTATGTGTGGAACGGAGCCGGGCAACAGAAAAATACTGTTAAACCTGGTGTAAGCGACCACCCCACGGTACCACCGTGCAAGGAAAAGTGGTCATTAAAGGCAGGTGGTCTTTAGAACCGGGTCCCACGGTGTCTGTATAGAACTGTCCGTGCATGGAAAAACGACCGTTAAGAGCAGGTGGTTGTTAAAACCAGACGTCGCTTACACTAGGCTTTACTGGCCGCCAGTAAAGGTCAGATACAGTAAAACCGGGTGTAAGCGACCTCTGGGTTAAACGACCACCTGCTCCTAACGACCATTTTCCCTTGCACGGACAGTTCTACACAGACACTGTGGGACCAGGTTCAAAAAACCACCTGGCTTTAATGACCGCTTTTGCTTGCACCCTGGGGTGGTCGCTTAAACCAGGTTTTACTGTGCTGTAGTGTCTTGCATAAAAGCCTGTCTCATACAGAAGCCTGTTTTGAATACAAGCCAAATGTCCGGAGCGGGGTGTACCTTGGACCTGGACTCTGATGCGTGGAAACGCATGTTGACCTGCTTCCCTGCAGCGTCTGACCAGCTCTGTGCAGCAATGGCAGAAGCAGGAAAACGCATATGCACCCAGGAAATCCCACCAGAAGAGCTAAGGTCATTCACTGCAGCCCGCCTCATCCCACTGGACAAGCGACCTCATCCCACTGGACAAGCGATCTCATCCCACTGGACAAGCGACCTCATCCCACTGGACAAGCGACCTCATCCCACTGGACAAGCGACCTCATCCCACTGGACAAGCGACCTCATCCCACTGGACAAGCGACCTCATCCCACTGGACAAGCGACCTCATCCCACTGGACAAGCGACCTCATCCCACTGGACAAGCGACCTCATCCCACTGGACAATCGACCTCATCCCACTGGACAAGCGACCTCATTCCCACTGGACAAGCGACCTCATCCCACTGGACAAGCGACCTCATCCCACTGGACAAGCGACCTCATCCCACTGGACAAGCGACCTCATCCCACTGGACAAGCGACATCATCATGGTGCGTCCATGGAGCTATGAAGCCGAGACCTCTGGTCGGCGGAGCTTAATGGGCCCCACCACCACACTCCATCATTCACCCCAGTGTCTGGAGATATGTGGGTTTTGTAGAAAGAAAAAAAATCCCACTGGAAAAGCGACCTCATCCCACTGGATAAGCGACCAGGGGTGTGCCCTATCACTATTGGGGAGGTTTTCCGGAGACTGATTGGCAAAGCTGTAATGAAGATAACTCAATATGACATCATGCATGCCACAGCCCCTCGACAACTCTGTGTTGGTGTTCCGTCTGGGTGTGAAGCTGCTGCGCATACTGTGACCAATATGTTTGCCTCGTCGGAAGTGGAGGGAGTGCTCTTGGTCAATGCCACTAACGCTTTCTACGCTATGAACCGCACTGCAGCCCTACACAACGTGCCACTCATCTCTCCTTCCCTGGGCCAGGTGTTGAAGAACACCTACAGCAGTCCATGCCGCCTGTTTGTGTCGGGTGGTGGAGAGATAAGGAGTCAGGAGGGTACCTGCCAAGGTGATCCCCTCGCCATGGCGATATTTGCAGTCACCATGGTGCCATTGATAGACAAGCTGTCAGAGTGCTGCCCCGATGTGGTGAACCCTATGGTATGCTGATGACAATGCTGGTGTCGAGCGGCTCCTCAATCTAAGACAGTACTGGGATTTTTCTTTATAATGCAGTTGTATTATTTCCACCACATTCTTGGTGAGGAGTAACATAGAATTTTTTGTTTGGCCTAATAGATTTCCACCACAGCCTTCCTTAGGGCCGGGTTCCACTGCGGCTCCGCTGCTCGTCTTTCGCAGCTTGAAACGTCATCATTACCATAGTGACCGCGGCTCGAGCTGGAGAGGCCGGGGCTAACCGCGCGAGCTTTCGCTACGATTCTTGACCAAAAACTGCGTGCCGCGGTCGCGGCTCGACCTGTTTCCCGTACTTTGCATTGTTTCGTACACGAGAATTTTAAAATTCAAATTGTCATGCGTTGCGCAGGCCAGATGAAGAGGATTATTTGGATTTATCGCAGGTAGGCAGGTAAAATGTAATCAAAAAGTGGAGCACAACTGCGGTACCGCGAATGGTGAGTGTCAGTGGAAACGTGCTGCTCTGCTGCATGCAGCCAAGTGCCTCGGGGCAGCGGAACCGCGGAGCCGCAGTGGAACCCGGGTCTTAGTTTCTATGATTGATTTGTTCTTCGAAGTACAATTCATTCACTTTCATTTACCTCGTCTTTTTGTTCGCATTTCTGAATTTCTAACGTGATGTTGCTGTTTACGTGAATTCTGAATTTCTAACGTGATGTTGCTGCTTACGTGCGGTGTTTGAAGAGCAGATCATATGAACAGCTGTGTTACAAACCACCAGTTCTCAAGTGGGAAAGGCCTTCGCGCTTATAGCATTGCATTTGTTGCAATGTTGTATCTCGACTCCGCCGTACTGCTGACGTATGCTACATGGCATACGTTATATGCGCTGTGTGTGTTTTTTTTTGTATATGCTGTTATTTCCTGTTTTATATGCGCAGGTTTTTGCATGTACGCTGTTTTTTGCATGCTATAAATAGCTGGCGTTATTAGTGTTAGTTGTTATATTCGATTACGTGAAATATACTGTTGAAGAGTTGTTGGTGGTGAGTTGTTGGTGGAACATGTGGAACAGAGGCTCCGACAGTACGAGGAACGTGAGGAGCGCAGTGCCAGACGGCGAGAGGAGGCGCTCCGCACCGAGTTTGACAAGACGTTCAAGGAGATTGACGAGAGCATGGCCAAGGCGTATGAGGGTGATGGTAAAGCCGTCAGTGAGAGTACGATGGGAGGTACAGTGGAAGCTCCCAGTAACAGTGGTGGGCGTAAGCCGTTGATGAAAATCCCCTCATATGATGGAACACAGCCAGTGGAGCGTTATCTTGACCTGTTCGAGGACATCTGTTCCAAGAACGAGTTCGAAGAAAGCGAATGGCTGCTGCGATTGCGCATCGCGCTAGCGGGTATCAAAGCAAAGAGGATCTGTATTGGATGCAATAACTACGAGGAAGCAAAGCGAGAGTTGCTTGCCTCGCTCGGAAAGACACCAGACAAAGCGTGGAAGACGTTGCTGACAGGCAAGCAACGGTCAGAGGAGTCTTTCCACCAATACGTTGTCCGTGTTTGCCGAGACTTAGAGGTGTGGGTCACGCTCGCTATAACGGAAGATAGCGAGGTCGACACCAAGTATAGCGCTGATATAGGAAAATGGCCCCGGTGCTGCAAGCAATGGCAAAGCAGGTGATCTTGGATCAATGCGGACCTGAGATGAAGATGCTGCAACCACTAAGTTAAGAGTGGTGTTCAATGCCTCGGCTCCGGCTCCAGATGGCAAGTCGTTGAACGACATGGTTGACCCTGGACCGTCGCTATTGCCGAGTTTCGCGGGTATGCTATCAAGGTTTCATGAATTATAAGAGCACGCTGCAAGCGGACATCCGCGAGGCTTTCTTCATGGTCACGGTTAATCCCGAAGACCATCCGTAACGAAACTGCCATTTGGCGTAAATTGCTTGCCATACATGCTAACTGCGGTGATTCAGCATCACTTGAAGGAGCTACGTGCGCTGGCCTCACCCAAAGAGCGAGACCGTCTTGGTCTCTTGCTCACAAGTTTCTACGTTGACGTTTTGGTCTCTAGTGTCTCAAATGCCCCGGAAGCCAAGAAGATGCAAGAGTTCAGCGTACGTGTGCTTACAGATGCTGGCATGGAGTTACGCAAGGTTACGCAAGGTTACGCAAGGTTACGCAAGGTTACGCAAGGTTACGCAAGGTTACGCAAGTGGCGAGGCAGCGACATACAGTGTGGTCCAGAGGCCGGAGATAAAGTCCTCGGTCTGAAATGGAAAACCAGTGATGACTTGCTCAGCATAACAGTGCTAGGCGAGTCTGATAGGCCGCCTGTTTGGACACGGCGAGCCCTCCTTAAGTGTGTTGCGTCAGTGTTTGATCCGCTAGGTCTCGCAGCACAGGCAGTTGTGCCGGGAAAGATACTGCTACAGCAGGCCTGAAAATTCGGTGGCGACTGTGGATGACCTGGATCACAGAGCCCAGTGACTGGCCCACCGCATCCTCAACCACTGCTACTGATGGGTCCAGTGTAGAAGTGCGAGTGTCAGCCACAACCTGTAGTCGAGAATCTGATAATGAATGGTGGCTCCGATTCATTAAGTGGTCGAGGGCACAGGGCATGGTGACTCGGATGTTGCAGTGGAAGCACACTGAGCCTCGTGCTGAACTCTATTTTGCAGCAGACAACGTATTGTACTGCATCGTTCAAGCCGAATGTTTCGCTGAGGATCTTGAGCTGATCAAGCAAGGTCAACCAGTGAAGCCTGGGTAGAAGGTGTATTAGCTTGCACCGTTTCTGGATGAGCATGGGGTGCTCAGAGCCGGAGACAACTCCAGCACAGTGAGTTGGCGTATGGAGCAAAGCACCCAGTTCTATTAGGCAAACATCATCTGACTGAGTTGCTGTTGGAGAAAACGCACGTTGAAAGGATGCACCAAGGTGTAGAAGAGATCTTGTCGTACATCCGTCAGAAATTCTGGATTATCGGCGGTCGATGAGTGCTACGCAACATTACTCAGCGATGTGTTACATGCCACTGCTACAAGGCAAAGGCTGCCTCAGAAGTCTGCCCGCCGCTGCCAGAAGACCGAGTTGTTCACGAGAGGCGGTTCACATCTACCGGCATCGACTATGCTGGTCCGTTGTACGTGCGCCGGGAGGAGTCATCTCCGAAAGTATGGACAGCATTGTTTGTGTGTGCCACCACCAGAGCAGTTCACTTGGGGGTGATTGATAGTTTAAGTACTGAGTCATTCTTGATAGCATTTCGGAAGTTTGTCGCGAGACGTGGTTTGCCGTCTCGGATCTGGTCTGACAACGTTCAAGGCGCCATCTGACAAACTGAGTGTGCCATGGATGTTCAATCCTGAGGTTGAAGCAGTGGTCAATAGTCGTCCGCTAACTTATGTGTCTGATAGCCTGGATGAGCCACCAGTAACCCCTGCAATGATGATGAGTAACATCTGGATGTCGTTAGAGGAGCCAGCAGGTACCCTGGACGCTACGCAGATGTCATCGAGATTGCGCTACCTCAGTCGGACACTGAAGCATGTCAAAAATCGTTGGGAGGTGGAGTATCTAAGTCAGCTTAACAAGCACCAACAGACCATGTCGCGCCCTTCAGCTGTGGGTGATGTTGTCTTTGGTCTCGATGACACCAAACGCAAGCAGTTCTGGCGTTTGGGACGGATAGTCGAGACGGTTAGCATCGTGTTGCCATGGTTAAGTTGAGAGATAGTTCGCGTCGTGTTACCATGGTTAAGTTGAGAGATGGCTAGCGTCGTGTTGCCAGGGTTCAGTTGAGAGATGGTTAGCGTCGTGTTGCCATGGTTAAGTTGAGAGATGGTTAGCGTCGTGTTGCCAAGGTTAAGTTGAGAGATGGTTAGCGTCGTGTTGCCAATGTTAAGTTGAGAGATGGTTAGCGTCGTGTTGCCAAGGTTAAGTTGAGAGATGGTTAGCGTCGTGTTGCCAAGGTTAAGTTGAGAGACGGTTAGAGTCGTGTTGCCAAGGTTAAGTTGAGAGATGGTTAGCGTCGTGTTGCCAAGGTTAAGTTGAGAGATGGTTAGCGTCGGGGTGCCAAGGTTAAGTTGAGAGATGGTTAGCGTTGTGTTGCCAAGGTGAAGTTGAGAGACGGTTAGAGTTGTGTTGCCAAGGTGAAGTTGAGAGATGGTTAGCGTCCTGTTGCCATGGTTAAGTTGAGAGATGGTTAGCGTCGTGTTGTCAAGGTTAAGTTGAGAGATGATTAGCGTCGTGTTGCCATGGTCAAGTTGAGAGATGGTTAGCGTCGTGTTGCCAAGGTTAAGTAGAGAGATGGTTAGCGTCGTGTTGCCAAGGTTAAGCTGAGAGATGGTTAGCGTCGTGTTGCCATGGTTAAGTTGAGTGCATTTATCAGTACCCTGTCGTTGCGGCCGATCCACAGGCTAGTGCCATTAGCTGTATGGTCACATGACGTGGCTCCTGGGCCTGACGATGCTGCACAACCTGCTATCGTCAAGCAGCAGCAGCACCCAGCGTCTGAACAGTCAGAACCCGTACTATCACCACCACTGCATCAGGAGTTGACGTGTTCTGGGCGCGTAGTCAGAGCCCCGGATCGTTTTTCACTTGTGTGAGTTGTTGTGCGGCGGTGAGAAGCCCTTTGGTAGGGAGAATGTTACAAACCACCAGTTCTCAAGTGGGAAAGGCCTTCGCGCTTATGGTATTGTATTCATTGCAATGTTGTATCTCGACTCTGCCGTACCTCTGATGTTTGCTGCATGGCATACGTTTAATTATATTATATGCGCTGTGTGCGATATTTTTACTGTATACGCTATTACTTCCTGTTTTATGTTGGTATGTTGGTATGTTTTGCATGTACGCCGTTTTTTGCATGCTATAAATAGCTGGTGTTATTAGTGTTAGTTGTTCGATCAAGTAAAATATACTGTTGAAGAGTAAATAGTTGTCCTCGTATCGTGTGGTCGTTCGATTCCGACATTTAAGAGAATCGCAGAGGGTTCACAACAAGCTGGAATCATGCGGCAAATCCCCTAAATCCATTTCATCACTTTTCGAAGGATAGCCAACAAGTGTTCATTTTACGTACGGTTTTTACCTAAAGCAGGAATGAATAGTGGGATGTTCTAAGACGAAATCGCAATGTTCTCAACTTTCTTAATTTCCACGAACTACTTCGCAAGATTTCCACAACCTTTGCCCCATACCATAGGCACATGGCATGAGGTCAAAGGTCAAGTAACAGGCTACATCACTACATTCCGAACAAAAGAATACTCGCGTTCATTTCTTGCGTACCTTCAGTCGCCGAGTTCAAGCTCACGTCAGAGAAACAGTAGGTGCACAGTAGTTGCGTTACGTGCATTGCCACTGGTATGCACTGGTATGCCCTGCTATGCACTGGTATGCACTGGTATGCACTGGTATGCCCTGCTATGCACTGGTATGCACTGGTATGCACTGGTATGCCCTGCTATGCACTGGTATGCACTGGTATGCACTGGTATGCACTGGTATGCACTGGTATGCACTGGTATGCACTGGTATGCACTGGTATGCACTGGTATGCACTGGTATGCCCTGGTATGCACTGGTATGCACTGGTATGCACTGGTATGCACTGGTATGCACTGGTATGCACTGAAATGATGGAGAATGCATTCATCAAGCTGCTTGCCCTGTGTAAAGTTGTCGTTCACAGCAGAACGGGGTATAGTCTGTATAGAGGTTGCTGTCATTTCTGCTACCCCCCCCCCTTTGATGGTTTTTGGCAAAAATTTACAAGAATTCTCTCATTTTAAGTTGCGAAGTTAGCAACTTTTGATATTTTTATGAAATATGGGTGCGATTTCAGCAACTTACACTTGTGTTGGGACGGTTGCAAAACGCATACGTTGAGAAAAATGATGGAATCCCTGGGAAAGGGCTAGCTGGGAAACGGGAGGATTTTTTCTCCTGCTGCGCCCCACAGTGAATTGAGAGCTCATGATGGATGCAGTGAATTGGATAACCATCCTTTGACCGATTTGTGGTGGGTCTGATCTAATCACCTGCCACTGCTTAGGCGCTGTATCTGCGCCTTGAACATTAAGGGTGGTGGCGTTCCAGCTGATACGGAGAACTCAGCCTTCAGCCGACTCTTACGGAAACCGTTAATTTTAGTTGTATCTAAATCCATATTAAGATTCAGTCTTGAAGGGCTTCAAGGCAGAATTGGTAAGTGAAATTTTGCCTAGTTGTGTACCTGGAGACTCTTGCAGTACAATGAAGATAAAATGTGGTTTTTCTCAATGTTGTGCTTATCTGCTTTGGCATCTCCGCTATTCATAACAAAGTCAACCTGTCCATTATCCTATAACCAATTTTTCTTGGGCAAGTTCTTACCTTGGCAACTATAGTTGGCAAGTGTACCAACACATGTTTCACTTCCGGGGCAATATATCTCTTCCCTTGGAATGCTGTGACAGCTCTGTGAACAGAACGACAGAGAGAGGCCTGCAAATGCAAATAAAGGTCAGTTTTTTAGGTTTTGATCCAAGCAAATATCCCGATAGGCACAGTTGACTTAGGTTGCATTTGTTCGGTCATTCCCGAATGGGCATGGAATGACGTCGGTACCCATCGCGGAACCGGAATGAGCGTAGCAAACAAACGCGCTGGCATGGATTCGAGAATCTGGCAAAAGTTTTGCGCCACTCTGGGAACGCAATTGCAGCCTTGCGAAGACTACTACATGCCAATCCTGGTAGTTGCTATATGCTTCCGTAAGTTTCTGCATGTCCCTACGACAGTCATGATGAAGGAGCGGCCAAACACGGCATAGATCTACGAGCGATAGTAAATAGGGTGCCTGCAGGCGGCGTTTGGCCGCTACTTCATCATGCTATACGACCTCGTATCAGTCACAGAAACATCTCTAGCTCTCGTGTTTATGTGACAGAGACAAGGCACTGTTGTAAGAAGAAGTGAAGTGGCAGGCTCGGTGCCGCTTTGGGTCACTTTGTTCTGGCTCGCCTCCTTGTGATTCTAGAGGCCCTGCTTGACGACGATGAAGAGCGGAGGTGCGAGGGCATATTTCCAGTTCATCAACGATCCCGGGCGAACACTTTCTCAGGCAGCGAAGGGTCAAATTACTACGAACAAGTTACTATGCCGTCCCCGAGGTTACAGTACCAGCCTATACCCTGGACAATGTCTGCCAACATTTCTGTATACCGATAATCGCGTTTGAAGTTTTGTTGTGGAGGTATGCAGCAACGACAAACTAAGCCCCTCCGCGCACTTTCATTCCGCTCGGAATGAGACCTCATTCCACTTTTTCTTAGGAATCGCCAGAATCGATTCTGCCCCCTTCATTCCGCGACCGGAATCGGAATTGCACCAAACAAACGCTGTCCAGTGCATCAAACAAATGCTCTGGAATCAAAACACGGCGGAATGACTTTGGAATGGTGGTGCAATGGCACCGAACAAACGCAACCTAAATCTAATGGACAAAATGTTACGAGTTATGACTAACTGTCCACCAACGTAACCAGATCTTCTACAGTCAGTCCTTCTTCTTTTCACAATTATTTAATTGGCTCACCATCCGAGTTAAATCTAATGGATTCATTTTTCCACAACGATGTTAAAAGCACATTAACACTTTATATATATATATGTTAGGTACCTCCTCCCGTACCTTTTCTAGCTGGCCTGCATTCGCTTACGTACTCACCTTTTGTCTCCTTTTGTTCCGTTGGCCTGGGTAGCTACTTGCGCGCCCATATTTGCCATAGCTACCCAGGCCCTTTATCTTGCCGTTCAGACTTGATCTCTCACTCTCTCTTTTCTCTCTCTTCAATGTAGTCGTTTCGTTCGTCTTGGTCTCTTGTCTCGTCGTCTACTAGTATAATAAATGTCGTTCCCACTAACCTGTTCCCGTTGTAATGTCTGGATATGTCGTCAGTCGTCCTGTTTCGAACTCAACATATAGACAAGCATTGCAATTTTGAACAGCACCGTCGCTGAAGCCCAGTGTAGGCAGTTCTTTCCTATCTTCTTCCAGCTTTTGTATTTTGTTTTATCCCGTGTGACAATGCATATGAGTAGGGAGAGTACAGACCCTGAAGTTACTTTTCAAGCTTCAATTTTCTATCACAATAATTTTGGTAACGGTAACGGTGTGTTCCAAATGTGGTTGATTGATTATGACGCCACCGGATCTCGAACCTGGATATTGCACTGTGTGATGTGACGAAACCATCTCTGCTTGATAATTTAGTTCAAGTGAAGAACTTGGCAATCTCCACTATCAAATTTTGTCTGGGCAACTTGTAAAGGATGCAAAACAAAAGCTGGCAGCGCTGGAGGCGAAAATCAGCAAGGATGCCGACTCGAAGTCATCAAGAGTGAGTCGTCATCAAATTCAGAAGAAGAATGAAGCTGGACTGCTTTGAAACGAACTGTGTGGCATCTGTAAATAACTATCTCTCATGTGCTGCTTTGTTTTCCACTTTGCGAAGTGTTTTGGTTGCCATAGAATGCTTTGGACTGAACTGTAAAAATGCAACGAAGTTTTGCTTAGCGGAGGAAGTATTTGCTAAGCACTATATATAAACAGCTAGCACACATAAACATCAAAATTATCCTGCCATATATTTGCAACATCACAGTCTATCACAATTTACAACACCAACATCTAACACAATAATTTCACACTGTGTCCAGCAGTCTACAGCCACGATCCCTGTTCACACTTGGACGTCTATCACGTATGAACATTGCTTCACGTTTACGACAAGGCCGTCACAGTCGGGGCGGCTGGGGCGGCTGAGGCCGCCCCACTTTTTCAGCCGTTTTTTTTTAATTTTTTAGCACATTACAACAAAGCACAATGATCGCAGCTTAGCGCAAACGTGACAAATCTTTGTCCCCGATCGTGGTTTGTTGCAGAAAAGTCTTTCCTTGCAGTCACACTGAAATGGCACCAAATGCCTGGAAATGCTTGGCTTCAATTTTTGAATTTTTTTCCTGGGGGAGGGTAATGTTTGTCCCCGATCGTAGCGTCATCTTCGTTTGTTGCAGAATCAAAAAGACTTTCATTGTAGTTACCGTACACTGAAATGGCACCAAATACCCGGAAATGCTTGCAATCGGCTTCAATTTTTGAAATTTTTTCCCGGGGCAGGACCCCCGCACCCCCCTTCCATGGCCGCCCCACCTCCAAAGTCGGTGGGACGGGCCTGTACAACGATTCACAAGGGACGACTGTTTGGCGAGAATTGATGCGTTGGTGATGGGTGTAGATGTGATTGCTCGTTGTGGGTGGTGTTCTGCATAGTGTTCTCCCCATGGCGTCTCCAGCACTTGCGCTTTGGCCCCTCTGGAATGCTCCTCAAATCTCTTCCTTGCAGTTCGCTCGGTCTCGCAAACCTACTTCTCGGCGCAAAGTGCACATAACATCGAGTAGATAACATCCTGAGACAAACATTGACCGCTCTCCATACCAGCATCACATGCACGACATTCAACTGGTCGCCCCCTCCCTCTTCTCTTCTTATACACTTCCTTCGGGCATTCAGGACGGGGCAATGATGACGATACCAACATGTCCCTTAGTGACCGACCGGACTGGAACACCACACGCACATCCTTACTGAAAGACCTCACCGTACTACAAACATCACGTGCCAAACGATCATTGACGAAGGGCAGTTTGATTATGGATGTGAACGATTGTTGTCGTTGTCTGGTGGATGATGGTCTTGGTGAGTTTGCATAGTGCTTGGCTGCTTGAATAGCGTGTTATGAGTTGTCTCGTAGTAATGTCTCGATCTTCTTCTCTCCCCGCTCCCTCCCGCTGTCGGTTGACGCGTTGCTGTTTGCGTGCAGAAACTGCTCTTGAGCAACCGAACGCTTCACCACCAATGGCAATGAAGACTTGACACCACTATGACTGGGCTTAACAAACAACTCCCACTTCACAACACCACTCGCCACAGAGATAGACAAATCGAGGTAGCTGACTGTGTGTGAGACATTCTGCTGGGTGTGTTCCACTGTGAAGCGTATGTCTGGGTGTCTGCTGCTCAAGTACTGCACAAACTCCATCAACTTGACAAGACCATTACACCATAATACCAGACAATCATCGATGTAACGACGATACAAGCGAGGCTTCCACGGAAACATAGCCATCGCCTCCGACTCGAGCTTCGACATGAAAATGATTGCCATTGGTGGCGCGAGATGGTTGCCCATTGCCAGGCCTTTCCGCTGCCTGTGCTGGACACCGTCAAATTGGAAGTAGTTGGACGACTGACAGGAGCACCCGAACATCCGACAGTGACAGGTCAAACATATCTACTTCCTTCCAATGCAACTTCAAAAACTCCATGACGACATCAATGCTCTCGACAACTGGTATGTTGGAATACAATGAGGCAACATCCAGTGAGGCAATGATGCAATCATCGGGAAGAACACCAACATCACTCAACACGTCGATACACTCCTTTGTTGTTGTTGTTTGGCTTTATTTAGAGTGGAGTTCCAAAACAGGCCTAAACCTAATGACAATGATAGCTAAGTCGTGAGTAGTTACATGGGAGAATGGCTTTGGCGAGTGGTTGTGGTAGCTTGTGTTGGGTAATCTCTGCGACTTTCTTGCGTGTGTGTTTGTCAAGGTCTTCTACCTTCACATCACAGCGCTCATAACTATCCCGACACTCCAACAAGACATTCTCTTTCTGTGGATAACTGTCACGAGACATCACTACAAATCCCTTACTCTTGTCAGACGGCTTAACCACGATTCCTTCATTCCTCCGTAAGGTGGAGAGGGCCTCCTTCTCCCTTCTCGTTAGTTGATGTCCGTTAGTGGAGGTATTTGTAACAGATTCACTGTTACTACTAACACTAGGAATAGGATACACTTATCACCTGCTATTATCACGCTGCTGCTGTTAGGTGTTATGTCCATCATTGCTTGTTCATGTATATAAGAATGCATTATGGCAAGGATCATTGCTTATTCCAAGAATGACTACTGAAGTTAGTTGGACTGTTACACTGGTAGCAAGAGGATGGTTTTTCTTTTCGTCGTGTTCGGGCTATGCGCAGTGGCCGCATTAGTCGCCTACGGTATATTCGAGATTCAGAAGCGTCTGAATCACCTTATCGCACTCGGTCAGTGCGATGGATCAGATCAAACGCCAAGACGTGCTCAAGCTCCCAGCGGAGAGAGGCCACGCATGCGCCATGTTAAGTCTCCGCCTGTGTTTCGTGGAGATACAAGAGAGTTCAAGGAGTGGGCCTTCGCCATCGAACTCGCCATGAAATCCCTGCAGCTGGACAACGCGGAGGAGCGCTTGAGCTACGCGGCGAGTTTTCTGGAGGGCAACGCTCGTCTTTGGTTTATCGCCTCTCAGGAGGCAAACACGCTGTTTGCCGACTGGCCAGACCTGAAGAGCAAGCTGGGAGAAGTGTACGGCCC